ACAGCTGCTCTGTTAGCACGTAGCATCCTCTGTCCACAACAGCTGCTGTGTTAGCACGTGGCATCGTTATGCTAGTGATCTGTACTTGATTGATCAGTGATGGAACAGTGACTGATTGATGATTGATTGAACAGTGATGGATAATTGATGTGTGTGCAGGTGCAGCATGCGTTAAAGAAGTCTGATGCGGCTTTAGAGACTCTGAACAGAGCGATTGGGATTGACCCCAAAAACCCGCTCTGCAAGTTCCACCGAGCCTCCATACTGTTCGCCAACGACAAGTACAAGGTAATCAATACTCATCAATACAGCTAGACTGTTTCTGACCTGTCTCTGTCTCTCTGACCTGTCTGTCTGTTCTGTCTGTCTCTCTGCAGGCAGCTCTTCAGGAGTTGGAGGAGTTGAAACAGATCGTTCCCAAAGAGTCTCTGGTTTATTTCCTCATAGGAAAGGTAAGAGACATCAGCTGACCTCTGACCTGACAGTTTACCACCTCTTTGGTTTTTAGTCACGTCTCATCTCAGGCTACTGAACTCAAACATGTTTGACATCATCAGTTTATTAGTAAACATGTTTGACATCATCAGTTTTAGTAAACATTTATGACATCATCAGTTAATTAGTAAACATTGAAACATTTAACAGTGTAAATCTTTTCTGACCTCACTTGTTGGTTAGTGAGGCTCTAAATATTTACTGGTTACATCAGTGAAAGTCTTCTTTTTAATGTATTAGTTCTTTAGTCAGGTCCAAAATCTTCGCTAGTTGCACCAATGAGAGTTTTCTTGTCTTACCTAGTTACCTGTTGACGCTCAAACAGTCAGGCAACGGTTGATACATGACAACACCCTCCATGACAGCTCCAAGCTCAGTCCAGACCAGATATGCCAACTACTGGAGCTCTGCCTGAGCACTACCTATTTCAAATACAATGGCAATTTTTACAGACAGAAACATGGCTGTGCCACGGGCTCACCAGTATCTCCCATTGTGGCTAACCTGTACATGGAGGATGTAGAATACAGAGCATTAAACTCCTTTGAGGGAACAGCACCGAGCCGAGGTACAAGCTTTCACTGAACACATCAATTCAGTGGACAGAAACATCAAGTTCACAAGAGAAGATGTTAAGGAGAATAGTTTGCCCTTCTTGGATTGTGACATGCACATTACAGAGGACAGAGGCCTCCACAATGGGGTATACAGGAAACCCACTCACACAGACCAATACTTACTGTTTGATTCTCACCACCCACTGGAACAC